GAGCTGGGCTTCAAAGGACTCCACTGGCTTCCTTTGTGTGGAGGAAATTTCCCCACGTCATTAGGTTGCCCAAGGAAGTTGTGGCTGCTCCTCCCTGGAAGTTTTCAAGGCCGGGCTGGATTAGGCTTTGAGCAACCTGGTCCAGTGGAAGGTGTCCCTGCTGCTGGCAGAGGGGTTGGAACTGGATGAGTTTTAAGGTCCCTTCCAACCCAAACCAGTCTGGGATTCTATGATTAAAACCAGTGGGTCTGTGAGCCTGCAGACCTCAGCCTTGGAAAACAGCAGAGCATTGGCACTGCAGCTCAGGGTGGTCCTCCCAAGAGGGATTCACTGCGGGCATTGGTGCTGTTCAACACCAGGGTGGATCCTGCTGACCTTCAGAGTCACGCAGTGCTTGGAGGGACAGCTGCAAGCTGATGATTTTATAACAGGGACATGTCTGTGTGCTGAGGACAAGCTCACCTGGGGACTGTCATGGCCATGCCTGCTGGCTGCTCTGCACTGGGGGTTCAGGGTCACCAGGGGTGTCTCAAGAGCCCAAAGCAGATGCAGGGATGGAGTGACTGACCCTCTGGAAGGTCTGTCCATCACCACTGATTCCAGAGCACTGAGGGCAGTGATGCCCACGGCTTTGGCACTACATGGGAAGTTTCTTGTCCTTGTGAGTGTCACACCTCTGCCAGCTCCCACCCATCACACGTGTATCCACTACAGGCACTTTGCAGCCCCTTGGCCCCCTTAGACACCCAGCAAGGAGGTGCAGTCCCAGCAAGGGCTGCTCAGGCACAGGAGGACAGTTTCAGCAATTCCTGTGAGCAAGTAGAAATGAGAGGTTGTCATGGAGACCAATATGCAATCGAGGGCTCGATTCTGCACTGCTCAGCCCCTCCTGTCCTCCTTTGCCCTGTCATGTGAGATCTGTGGAAGCCCTATTTCATATCAAGGGGGTAAAGACAATTGAAAAGTAAAATCTGCTGTGAACGTGGCTTTGGTTCCCACTTCTTATTCACCCAGCTCTACCTCCCAGCTTCCATTTCACTGGGGTCAGTCTGGATTCAAAGAGGTCTGCATGAGTGCAGAGCTGGGACCATGGCTTAAAAGTGCAGAGCTCCAACCTCCCAAACCAGCACGAATATTCCAAAGTGCACAAAACCAGCATGTACTTTGGGCCACCCAGTTGCTGATGGTGGGAAGGAACGTGAGTAAAGAGGTATGTGCAAGGAAAGGTACTTGGCAGTCTGGGGAGGTGACCTTAATCCTTGATTTACTGGGGAGATTAAACCTTTTCTGCTTTAATCCAGGCTTTGCTGGGCTGGATTCAGGCCCCCGCAGAGAACTGGGCAGCAGATGTACTCTGAATTTCCCCCTGGGCTGGGTAGGACTGACTCAGTGACCTCAAGAAGTTTTAGAAATGCAGGCGTTTCACCATGTTTTAATTTTCAAAGGAAAACATCTCCCTAAATATAAAACCGAGAGGTCAGACTTTTTTTCATGCTGAAATATTTCTGATTTCCCATTTGAAATTACTGTTTCTAGTTATCCAATATTTTGTTTTTCATTCTGGACAATTAAAATTTCCCATTGCTTCCCCCCCTTGATCACAGTATTCGAGCTGGATTTTATTCATAAAATAAATTCTGGCCAAAAATACTTGTTAAAAAAAAAAAGACAATTACTGAGGGGCCTTGGGAAGAAACTTTGGTTCCTGAGTTACTTCTGAAAAACTTCTATTACATACACACACATGCCCTGATTTAACAGAAGACCTTTTTGGATCTATCAAGACTGAAATCTGACATAAATAAGAATATTTTCAAGATGATTGCTTGCAAACATAAGCATCAATTAGTTCTGTCAGTCTGGTTCAGTAGCAATGTGGGCAATGATTACAAGTGATTGTGTTGTTGCCATTTTACTGCCTTGTCACCTCCCACCAAAAATCCCTTTGGTTTTTCAGAAACCCAAAAATCTTGGTCTTTCTCTTAGATCCCAGTCCAGGTAAGCACCTAAACACATGCTGACACAAACATCCCCAGATGCTGAGAGTAACACGGATGCTTGACAGACTTTTGAATTAAACCCAGAATGAGAAAAGCCTTTTTTCTATGTTCATATGGAACAGCAGCACCAGGAAGGCAGTTGGGCACCAAACTCTGACATATTGTAGGAAAGAATCACAGAATTTGAGAATTGCCTTGACTGGAAAAAGCCTTTAAGATGATCGACTCCAATCATGAACCCAACACTGACAATTCCTCAACTAAACCATGTCCTTAAGTGCCACATCCACATGTCTTTTAAATATCTCGAGAGATGATGACTAAACCACTTCTCTGGGCAGCCTGTTCCATTGCTTGACAACCCTTTCAGTGAAGGAAATATCCCAATATCCAATCTCAACTGCCCTTGACACAACTTGAGGCCATTTCCTCTTGTCCTGTCACTTGTTCCTTGATTGAACAGACCCACCCCCACCTCTCTCCACCCTCCTTTTAGGGAGTTGGACAGAGCCAGAAGGTCTCCCCTCAGCCTCCTTTTCTCTGGGCTCAACAACCCCAGTTCCCTCAGCCAGGAACTCAGCACACTTGTGCTCCAGACCCTTCCCCAGCTCTGTTACCCTTCTCTGGACATGCTCCAGCACCTCCATGTCCTTCCTGGAGTGAGGGGTGAGAACCAGGAACCCCCAGAACATAATAAACTGAAAGAGGCTTTTGACCAACACCATGACAGAGCATTCAGAGAGACATGTGTGCTAGACCCATGCTTGTTTGCAGCCATGCCATCAGCTGGACATCATCTGCCTACCTTCAGGCTACCAACTCTGCTCTGCCCCAACCCATTCCACAGCTCAGTTCTTTGAACTCTGCTGGAGGAGACTGACTTTGGTGTGAGGAATTTCACTGCCAGGCTTTTTGTTCTGCCTTTGATTACAGATGCAAACCAGCCTGTAGTGAGAGCCAGCCCCCCCCCATCTCTTCCCCACCACCTCACAGTACAACCCACGCAGCCAAAGACAAGGGACAACCATGACTCCCGCCCACAGCCCCCACCACAGACCTGCTGATTACACTTGTCTCAAGATTAGTCAGAGGGAATCTGTTCCCTCCAAGCTGGTCTGTGGAGCTAAGTTGGGCAGCAGCTGCTGCTGCCTCCTCATCCCAGCTCATGCCAGGCGAGCAATCTCATCACACCTTGCTGGGTCTCTCTGGCAGGTACACAACCTCCTCCAGGCAGTAGGTGGACGTTCACTTTGCCTCATTAGTGTCATTGTGGTTTGGGCTGCAGCCCTGCTGGCGTGCAGGTTCATTCAAAAGGGAGTCTGCAGCCTTCTTGGGGATTTTGCAGAGGGGAGAAGCTGAGAATGACCAAGGAGGATGAGCACATCCAGACTCCACAGCAGAGGGGGAGAGCCCCAGTGCTCCTCAGATCCCCATGCCTCAGGGATCTATGCATAACCTCTCCCTAGGGACTTCTCCTCCAGTCTGGCAGAGCAACTTTAAGGTGATGGACCCAGGACTGACCTGCCTTTTCCCACCACCTCCTTTCCTCTAGCTTTACTCCAGCTCTCCACTATCCCTGCTTCTGAGAGCCAGCAGTCCCATCACAGACTTTTCCCTACCTTCATCTTGCTGATGGTGAAACTGTGTTTAATCATCCACTGCAGTCCCACAAAGAAGCCTTGGGAGCTGAAGAAGAGCTGTAATGAGCAGAAGACCCACGGAGCTTTATAGCTAACAAGTGACCCTCCTCTCATCTCCTGCCTGCACCTCCCACCTGAAGACTCACAGCCCCCTCCCCTCAGACATCACATACACCTGCCCCCTACTCTGCCCTCTCTTCTCCCTCCTCTCATCTCATCTCCAAGGCACCATCTGGCATT